GAGGTGAAGTGTTGTTGATGCTTATGAAACACGGTATTGACGAGAATGGAACCATATGATAGGTTATGGCATCACGATAACGCATCGTTTGATTTCTTCACTTTGTACCAGATCACTGATAAGAGTCATTCCTTTGACAAACATTCCCAATCAGCATTTCCAATGAGATGGTATGGTATGTGAACGATTAACTTTAAAGATCATAAGTTATTTGCGTGACAGTGATACAATCATACGAGTCATACGCACTCATGCTCACTATTGATTCAACTCCTTTGACTACAGTCAACACCGATTAGAAAATGATAAAAAATTTTTGAATTCGTTTCGATTACAACTTATAATGATCGTTCATGAACGTAAGAAAACGTAGTGGGTGAGTGAGTGAATGTACTTTGATAGTACTTGAAAATGTATGCAATTTTCTCGATTATTATGAGACTGATACTTCAAACAGTTACCTAGCAGCATTCTAGAATACCAGAATTGTTAGTATTGTCCAATTGGACGGGAACCTAACAAACACTGACTACTGCATTTCAGGTTCTCATGATTCATATGTTGGCTGAATGTTGTGAAAGCAGTTCCCCGAATGATTACACCGAAAAGTTCTTATAATTATATTCATTATGTCTAATGGATCTGTTTAAAACAAGTTCATCATTATGATATCTATGTAATTTAAAAAACCGTTCAGATGCGGTCTTCATCTCCATAGAAACTGTTTCAGCTGGATGATGATAACGGATGATCGACATTTTTGATTCAAGATCGAAACGGAATGACACCTAACAAGGGGAATTGGGAAAAAAGCTGATTGTAAGGGAATTATATTTGTTCCTTGTGCATTGGATATATAAGACAACAAATAACATTTTATCGCGAAACACTTGGAAATGGTATGAATGTTGAACGATGACGATTATTTACAGTTCATGGAAACAATGTTGATTCATAAGCGATATTTCGTAAGATCAATCAGCCACACTAACAATCTGAGTTATTACTGTTATCATGTTTCGTCGCTCACGCTTCAACTGAGCACGGTGAATCTGCAATACCGCAGCTGTTCGCACCTCTCTTATACAGGAAAAATCCATCCATACCCCATCTGAAAGAGTCAAGGTCAAATTCAATTCTAGAATGGTTCGGCATTTTGCGACACTTCGAATTCTCTTAGAACACCCCTTCATGAGAACACTGCATCACAGAAGTATTTCTAAGGAAACACCGAAGCAACGTGAACATTGCAACACTCGTGAGAATATCAACTTCAATGCGGAACGCTTCATGATTCCGTTCCTTTTTTGCTTCAGTCGTCTTTCGAGAGCATGCGTTCAATGAACAATAAATACACTTTAACTCATATAAATTGTAACCTCTTTCCCCAACTATTCTTTATGATCCAATAGTCTTCTCCATTCTGACTTCCATAACCAACAACAGCTAGTGCATGTGTTCCTTGAGGATTCTGTTCACAGTCTTCTTTTGATGGCGTAAACACACCGGATTGGTAGTGAAATAAGTCTTTCGTTACATTAATTCCTGGAAATTTAAGTTAAACATTAAACAGCGAGGAATGTCCTCTGTAGAGTTAATTATATGTCAAGTAAAATCTTTCGCATCCGAGTTTGTTGCACGATTTGTTCTGCGTGGAGATCACATTTTAAGAAAATCTTGTCTCTAAACACATCATTTTGATTTCCATATTAACGATCCATTCTGGTGAGGCATATGAAGCATATTCTAGTCCAAATCTCAGGAATGAACTCACCAACGCTTAATGGACCTTTATAGAAAACGAAATCAGCCATTGCGCTTTCATTGCGGCGGATATACTTCACCGTTTTGACGTACACTCTTTGAAGAGTGGTGTTTAGCTTACAGCTATCCAGCTCCTTACCTGCATATGGATAAAGCTCTTCAGGCACAATACCATTGTGCCTTATGTACCTGAATGATACACGAACATGATAAGGATTCTGTATCGGTGAAATTTTCCGAATTTCGTCCTCATGAAGATAAAGAATTTAAGACCTCATGCATTTACTACGTAATCTCCAATTCAATCGTTAAGCTGAGATCAATTAGTTTTCCGTTGGCCAGTTTTTGAGAATTGCTTTTCCCTAATGTCATCACTCTGTCGCATCTGCGTGAATCTTAATGTCAGAAAGCGAGATCAGCCATCAATAGAACAGACTCAAAAGATTTAAAGGAGTGATTCTAAGTCACAGTTCTAAATTACAACTATTGTAAATGAATCTGAAGTAGTCGTTCCAGCAAACTGAACAGCTGCCACCCATCGTTTTGACAGTAGTAGTGTTAAGTAGGAGCTCAAGAGAATCTCAGCACTAACTGCAAGGCGTACGGTCGATAACCTCCATCGCAACCATTATCGTTCATATCGCAATCGATCAATTGCTGCTCAGATAACGATACCAGTGGATTCTTCGCTATCGCGTTCATCGATTCAACCACACCGACTGCGCCGAATGCCCAGCATGAGCCACAACGTTCTGGAAAAAACCTCGGTTTTGAAAGTCTTAGCAGATGTCTGCAATCAAGAAAGTTTGAAAGTCTTAACAGATGTCTGCAATCAAGAAAAGAGTGAAAGGTGACTCTGAATGTGGCAAGATGAAGTGTGACTTGATTGACGATAATTGAGACCAGACCTAAGTTACTGATATCGAGTGTTATGGTCTAGTAATATCAAAGAATATGACATCCTTCAAGATTATTCCACATGAATTCCGATTTCATATACTGATCACATATAGTTGGCTTGAGTGCAAGGAGAATGATGGAAGAGAATGTTGAAGAGAAGATACTAATAGTAGATGGTAAGAGACGGATATCTCATCGAAGTGGGCGATTATAGTTTACATTGTGAATCATTAAAGTCATGGAACTCGCGCGTGGTCGATAAATTAACAAAAAATTTGATAAGCGATCAACCACAGAGTGCTGGATTGCCGATGGAATGGAAACAAAACGCTGAAGGAATTATCAGGAATTACGTTGATCCTTGATATCAGTAACAACATTTTTGGAGCGCCAATCAAACGATTCGGGTCTTCCACCAAATCCATCATACAGCGTGAACTCGTCCTCATAGCTACCATCATAGTATTCCCGGTCATAGCGCATCTCCATATTAGGTTCCTCACCACAAGTCATCTGAATCACATTGACATTTCAGTACACATTCTCAATTCTGTGCCGGGAATAAATCCTGGATACTAGGAATTTTCTAACCGATTTCATCTCCTCTTCCGACCAATCGGCAAATCTGGTGATACCAAA